TACATACATACATACATACATTCATTCATACATGCAAACATCCACTTTTACACTCATATATGCATTCAAGCATACATATTCAGACAGACAGACACACATACAGACAGACATACAAACATAGAAAGCTACACAAGCCAACTGAATACATTTTTTTCTTTAATGAGCATAGTGGTGGGGCTGAACCTCGTTCCAGGAGCAGGCGACTTTAGTGCTAATTTTGTGTGTGTTTTTTCCTGATACCATTCTTTTTTTGCCGCCTTCAGATAAGAGTCGAGGCGATGGTGATTTTCGTGAAAATCAGCAACATTGACACCATGCAGGAGCGCTACCAGGCCGACATCATTCTCAAGGCAAAGTGGCGCGAACCGCAGCTCGACGCCACTTGGAATCAGTCGTACCTGCCGGCGGGCGATTTTGGTGTGGGACCCTATTCGGATGGTCACAGCGAAAGCCAGTTTGCCGGGTCCGGAGAGGCTCGGCAGTCGGACAAGTTCTCTGCGCCGTGGCCGCCCGACTCCGGCAAGTTGATTCGACAACCCGTGAGTGAGGTCACTTCTCTTTTGGTTTCCTTTATTGGCGTGCCTATGACGTCTCTGTTCCGCATGACCAGCTAAGTTGACGTCTTTAAAAGAAGCCGTCGAAGGGGGTATAGCATTTGGTATTTCAGACATTTGCAGGTGAACCGATGCCGCAAGAGGCCACACTTCGACGTTGCCACACTCTTCGCTCTGGGTTACATTTAGCTTTTCACCTACCAGCCTATCCGGTCAGACTGAACTGTATCGTCAGGCTTACACACACACACACACACATACACGAGGCCTCAGATCTAACTGAGGAGATGCCAAAATCGTCAGATAAACAATCTCTCGACTCGACCAGCATCGCTCTTGTTGCTTTTCCCTTCGCAGCACTGACAGAATTGGGTTTTTTTTCTTTACCACGTTTGTAGGCAACATGAGGCCTCGATATCTCTGCACACATGCAGGCAATGACTATGGCTAATCTCAACTTTTATTTAATGTAGAGTAGAATTGAATCGGGTATGAAATAGTTATTTGCTATTTGAGAATTCACATTTTGGACGAGTCTGGTCAGTTGCTTGTCAGTTGCTAGGCTTGCCTTGTGCTTGAGGCGCCTTTTATGGGAAGGAAAGCGAATTCCGGTTAATTATGGTAGGTTCATTGGATCCCTTCTCTTTGAGACGATTGGGCGATGGGTGACTCGGATTGTGTGATTTGACTGGGAGTCATAATGCGAAGCTAGTCGTACCTGAACGGCTTGACAAGAGATTCGCCTGAGACACGCAGGCAATAAAGTGTGCTTTGGCAACCGAAGGCTATGATGCCTGGGCTGAGCGATCTTCAGTGGCTTTGTGCAGGTTGCTTACGAACGAAGATTGTCCATTGTGGCTTTAGCACATGCTACCTGTGAATCGATAGGATTCTTCCACTTTTATATTCAATTTTGTTCACCTTACCACCGTAAGGATGGCCAAATGTACACACAAATGTAAATCGCAATTGAATTCGTAATCCTATACATGGAAGACAGTGTTGTGTATGCTGGAATTACTCTTTAAATAAATTTATTATTTTTTAGAGGTTGTTTGACCTTGTTTGTGCA